AAGTTCGAGGCAGGTGAGCGGGCTGGAGCCGGCGCCGGGTGCGCTGGGGGTTGCGGGCTGCTCTCGCTCTGCCGCGGCCCGGGGCAGCGGCTTTGGGCGGCTGGAGCAGCCTTGACGGAGTGCGCTCTCCCGCAGGCTCTTCTCGGCCAGCTGCGCTTTGCCCCGGCCGAGCCCGCCGCAATGGCATCGGTGCCCTCCGCCGGCTGCCTCTTGGCCAAGAACCAGTACTACAGAAGTAAGTACTCGGCGGGAGGGAGGCTGAGTCGCTGTGCGCAGCATGTCTAAGCTATTCACTTATGGCAAGGTTAAGAAAGTGCTCGAGTGACTTCTGAACGAGTTGGAGGCAGGAGGGGGTTTTTAGCTTGTTTTTTTTTTTTATTCTCCTTAGTCTAATCTTAAAGGCTCTTTTTTCACTATATCAAAGAGCTTCAGTGTCGAAGGCTTCTGGTTCTTCATCTAACTTTTCCTCTTTTGAACAGACCAGTAGGAATGTGTCATACCTTTTTTATTATAAAGCATTGAATCTGCAAAGTCTTGGCTTTTAGTGGTACTTCATGCTTGTTTTGCAGATGTAGACAGAGCATGTAATCAGCTCAGCTTTTTTTCTTAGTTTATGAAATGGTCAGTGGTTTGAGAATAAATCTGCTGTTTTAAGAACCTTTGGCAAAGCCTGTTACTCCATAGTGAAAATGCAATACTTTTAGTTGTACCATTATGGAAAGTATTCAGCCATAAAACAACCTCATTTCTATAATCTAGACTTCTCTTTTGATAGCAACATGTACCTGCTAATGAGTTTCACTGGTGTCAGTGAAGACAAGCAGATTCCATCTCAGCAGATTCCTGAGTGAAGAATAAGTACACTGAGAGATCAACTTATACAAGTTTTTATATAAGCAACTGCAGTAAAATAGTGTTTAAATACTGAAATAATTTGTAGTCAAGCAAAACTATTGTCAGGTATGCTGTTTTCTCTGAGGTAGCAGCAGGTGTGAAAATCCTTGGCATGGAATTAGTGTATTTTTCCGAAGCATTTTTTTCATTGTTTGTTTCTTCATGAACAGCACGGCAGAACTCAGAATGCGGTGTTTCTTCCAGTTCCTCCTGCTGTTCTGATCCAGTGAATGTTACACACCAGGACAAAGCACTTCATGGTATTGCAAGATTCAGATGACTTTTTTCTAAAAAAAGCCATTTTGTTATTCAGTCAGTATCTGACAGTGAGTTTTTTCCTTTGGCAGGGTTACCCGAATTACTTGATAAATGTTGGTGGATAAAAAGCTTTTTCCACTGTGAACCATCTCAACCAACTGTTGCCAGAAAAACACTGTCGGCAAGCAGGTAAGTCAGGACTCACTTACAATGATGGGAATGACTTACTCATGCCATTCTCTTTCCTCTAAAAAGTATTTAACAAGTTTAACTTACTAACCCAATTTGGGGTTGTAGTACTATTTAATGATTTAAATCAAAAGGTACTGCAAGAGTCTAGCTGCAGAAGTTTCCATTGCTTGCTTCTTAGTAAATGAAGTCTTAGGAGTTCATTTAAGTAGGAGCTTAAGACCATTATTTGTAGTAACAAATATTTAATCCTCTGCAGGTCCATTTTATTTCATGCTAAAGTTAACATTAATATTTAGGTAGATAAGTACACTTGAGAAAATATGATAATTCTACTTATGATATTTATTTATGTATATCTCTTTCAGTACCAACAGCTGAATGACTGCAAACTGACTTTGGTCACTACATACAGACTACTTTTTCAAGAGGCTTGGGATCTTCTGGATGTCTGGGCTCAGGTGTTTGAGGAACACATCTCCCCTTTAAGAGGGAGAAAAGTATATTTTCAAAGGAGTTGTCAGTACCTTACATTATAATGCTTAATGGACATGCCCATGGCTTACCTTGTTCACTATGGAATTGCTATAATTTGAAATGCCTCTAACAGAAGTTACCTGAATAAAATATCCTAATGACCTACTTGGATTATTAGAAAAAATATCAGTAAAAAGATACTGTAGATTTAGGAGAAATATGTGTATGGAATGACCTTGCAATAGATGATACTGTTCCATAATTTTTAGCTTTAAGATACAGCTCTACAGATGTTTACACTGATGTAAACAAGATTCAAATACAGTGGCCCTAGTCTGGACTCTGTGGTACATGCTTTCACCAGGTAGCTGTGTTCCAGTTACAGGCAATGAAGTTCACAAAAAGGCCTGTGCATAGCTTGGCTTTTAAAAAGCCCCATTATACAAAGAAACAGTAATCAGTTTGGTCTTTGTTCCAGCTAGGTATGGATCTTAACCTTAAATACAAAGTTACAATTTTCATTCACATCTGTGTGTTAGTATTTGAGGACAGAATTGAAGAAATCGCCAAGAAATCAATCCTAATGGACACTGTCCTCCAAGCAGAAGAGTAACTTTAATCACAGTTGACATCCATTACCTCTGTTTTACTACTTAGACTACTCTTACCTGCTTTGCTGAAGCTTAGAGCTACTTGTTCTCAAATGACTAATCCTATCAGTACTCACTACTGTCTGTCAGCTTAGTTTTATCAGGTGGTAAAGCTGGCAAATGTTCAGCTCAGTAATCACATTAATGTTGTTAACCAAATTCACCTCTGTCATGATTATCTCTTGAAAAATACCTTAACACAGATTCATTTGGTCTTTAACACTGCACAGCAGTACTGCACAGCAGTACATCGCAGCTGCATCATAGCTTTGTTTATGGTATGATTGAAATGCATTAGAGTAAAAGAAAATAACAAATACTTAACTGGATGACTCTTTTCCTGTGTTCTTCTCTAAGCAACTTGATGAGGTGCTGTCACTAAATATATTTGATCCTTTGTTTATCACTGGAATAAGTAACAATAACAAACCTTACATGTATATGTAACTCTCTGTTACAGATTAATTGTCAGTTATGCAGAGAACTCTAGAAAGCACAGCAAGTGAATGCCTCAAAGTTTAGTCTTGTTAGAGATGAATGTATGGCACAAACAGAAGAGAACACAATTCTAGAAAGATGCACTGTTTCAGGAATCTAAATTGCCATATCTCTTTACCTTATTGTTATTGTACAGTTTGATCTTTGTCCTTTCTAAGTATATAGAATGAACTATTTTTATACTAAGTTCTTTTTATATTAATAAAGACTTAATTGGTATTTAATCTGATCTTTTTGGTCTTTAATACAGAGTAGTACTTGGTGTTGCTTGTGATCTCCGGAGCAGAAAAATTCAGAATTTCTGCAGAATACTTAAGGGAGGTGCAGTCTTCCTTTAGTCACTTTAAAACTTGGCTTCGATGAAAAGGAGAGATAGGACTTAAACAAGGGCAAGAGGGGGAACAACAGCTTTCTTTAACATAATTGCAAATGAAGTATTAAGGCAGGGGGAGGAAGAATCTAACTACTAATTTCAGAAGTAACCGTGGCTCTTCCTAAAGGTACTTGAAGCCATAGGTAAAAATGCTGTAGCCCTTTTTCAGAGGAATATGATTCAGAAACGGGGTGAAAAGTGTAGTGACAAGCTGCCATATTGCTCTCTAAGCCTATGCTGATTCTGCCTTAATCTGGTCAGGAAGCTGGCTGCAAAACAGGTTTTAAATGCTGATAAGCTGTAAAGGCCCATGGGGGGGAGGGAAAATACAAAACCCCTTTTTCTTTTTTCCTCTGTTTGCTTGGGGGGGGGTGAGAGGGAAAGGGGTGGAAGAGGAAAAAGGAGGGGTCTAAATGTCATTTGAATTCATATACTCAGGCTCTATAAACATGTGGCTTATGGGGAACCTGGTATAATGACATTATGGTGAGGGAAAACTCACTTCTAGAATGCTTTCTCCAAATCATCCATATGAACTTTATGTTGTGATCAGTTCAGCCTGGGATAGGGGCCAGTTTTGCTCATGGTTCCTCTTGTTAGTTGTTCAAGACGTAGTTTCCCCACAATTGATCAACTGTCTTAAATATGATCTAATGTCACTATGACAAACTTCCAAGAGGATATGGGTAAATGGTATGTTACAGTGCTTGCTATAAAAGGGTTGGTGCCTTGTTACAGTAAGATAATAAGTCAGTGTCAAAGTGTTGAACTAAATGTCAATTTAAAGTAATTTTGGGGGAAACAATTTAATATCTTAAAGAGAAAGCAGCAGAGGAATATAAAAGGGAAGCAGACCTCATATAGCTTAAATGCAGCTTACAATAAGAAAAACAGGAAAAAAAATTAATATCTATTTGGGTAAGGGAAGTATAACTGCTTGTTCAAAGATTAATTGTAATGGAAAATCCTGTTAGGATAGCTATAGGGAGAGATTTGTTTTGGTGGAGTTAAGCTGCTCATCAAAAAAGTATTAGAAACATGACTTGTGTCAGCATGTAGTTAATAAGGCAGATCCTACTCTTGTGACAGAGTTGGGCAGGGATTGCTTGGAAAAGATTTTTTATCAAATGATATATCAAATCAGTCAAATAATTTATGGCAATGATATTCAATAATGGGATTCTATTTCTTTCCCACAAGCAAACTCAAGGCAGAGTCTACTGGTCCTGGCAATATCCCATTTTAGGACTTAAAGGACAGATCTTGTTATACCATTCATTTCAGTAGGAGAAGGAAGAAATCATCCTATTGAGCACACTTAGAGGAATCCATTACCCTGAAGTAATTTTTCTGTGAAGGAGCACCATTATGTTTATAGTAATTCTATCTTTTAAAGTAAAGTTCCTGGTGTTTTGAGTAATAAATTGGTACAAGGTCCTCAGTTCATATCCACATTCAAAACTACCTCCTAGAGAAAGAAATCTTCCCAGACTTTTTACTGAAAGGATGCTTTTTCTCGTAAATTATATTGCCATCTTAAATATAGCACTTGGTTCTTTACTGCCACAATATAACTCTTCTAATATGACTAAGAAATTTTGTATTAAAATAGTCTGAAAATTTGAACTCTGGTAGGACAAAATGTAAAAGAGTGTATACTAGAACAACAACCCTACAAATTCTGCTTTCTGATGTCAAAGTAGCTAAAATTTGGAAAAATACAAAAAAGTTGCATTTTCTTCCCCAAGAATCTTCTTGCCTATATGTGAGCTAAGCAGAATTTCTGATAGTATCATATTTAATACTATGTCACACTACATATTGTCTACGAGAAAGTAAGGATTACCTGGAAGGACTGCAGCTATTGCTAAGAAGTAAAAATTTTTTTTTTTTGGTTTACTAACCTTTTCTGTATAAGGTATAATGATAAATGAACCCATTTAAGAAACATATTTTCAATAAAGGAATGAAGAGCAAATCGAAAAGCAAATCAAACTCCAACTGAGTTGTCAGGAATAAGTAATTTTTTTCCATGCAGTGGTTAAGACTTCTATGAATAATTTACTTTAGCTTTCATTTGTAATTTCCTTGGAAGAGTCGTTTCTGTTCCTGATATTACAACAGCGGGATATTTTAAAGTATATGCAAAACCCTCTGTCTTTTTTTCGTGATGTTAACTAATCATGAATTATTTCTTCATGAAAATAGGATGTCTGCTACAGTCACTTTTCTAGTCTTCTACAAATGAAAACCCAAGTAGGCTAGTTTCAGCTATTTGTTCTAGGATTAACACTGTTTGCAAAACATTTCTCAGATTATTGTGTTTGCAGCTGGTGACGGAAAATTTTGATTATGTTCGGTGTCCTGGCTGACTCTTCCATGATGGAAGGATTTTGTCAGATTTCTCTAGTTATGCGCTCCATCATTTGCCATTTTAAGCTGTTCTAGCAGTAGTAGATGTAAAATATATCGCACATAATCACTGCAGGTCTCTGTACCAGAAAAAGGCTGTCACTAACAGGAAGCAGAATCCGATCAGTGTATTGGGAAGAAGTTGAGAAAAAAAAAAAAGGTTTTTTTCCCCTCTCACTCCTGCCCCCATCTGTCTCAGATACTGTGGAAAAAGGAAATCACTGTTTCCCAGCCTTACGGTAAAAGACAAAATTCAGCTCCTATGCTCAATGGTATGTTCAGAGACACTCTGTTAGCTTTTTCTCAAAAGTAGAATTATAAATGTGCCTGTAGTCACAATGACAGGACAAGATTTGTAGAGAGAGATATATTTTTGATATGATCAACTCATAACAGACAGAATATGGGTTTGTACACTCAAAAAGTTGTTGCTTTTCTTAGCTGTGACAGACACTACATCTCCTTAAAACTTTGTCTTCTTTGGCTTTAATAGAATTTATTTTCAGCTATACTCATAAAACACAACCCATGACCTCACCTTACTTGTTTAGCTGAGGAGGCAGTATTGCGTGCAGGATAAAACTGCTTTGTCAGTTTGTAGCGCGCACTGAGGTACAGCCTCTACCATAACAGAAGAGGCCTGACTGAGCTGGTTGGACTTCAGACCCACTACTGGGATCATGAAGGCTGAGGCCAGGAAGTCCAGGAGAACTCGATCAGTATATCTTGTTTAAAAGAGATTGTTTAGCTTTTTTTCCCCCTCTTTTTGCAAAGTGAAAACCCATCTAATTCTGACCTTAAAATACGCAGTGACAGAGAGCTGTAAGACACCTTGGTAAATATTTTCTACTGTTGGTTAGCCTCACCTTTAAAGATATTCCCCATTATTCTCCTTGAACAGCAGTTCAGGCGTTGGTCAAGAATGCATGACTCAACAACCAAACAAGTTTTAAAGTGCAGATCCACCTCCTCTTCTAGGCTCTTGAAAGTGGCTTTAGAAGAGGTTGTATCATTTTGTTTAATCCCCAGCTATATCTGCTCCAGGGTATTTCAGCACAATAGGAGTGGATCAATAGATGGATGCAGTCAGAAATAAGCTTTTTGCTTCTGTGGGTGAAAGCTAAAAGCTAGGCTTTTTGAGTATGCTTCCCCCTCTGCAGTTTACTTATTTCAGATGGCTGAGGGTATACAAACTATTGCTAAAGGTGACCTAAATTAGGGGGAAAAAGTTTATGATACAGTATTATGATGATATAAAAGTGTAGGCCAGTTTGAAACCCTGCACCCTAACCACTTGCTTGAACTCAATTCACCTGAAAACAGAACCTGATAAATAGATTCCTAAATATTAGGAATCTTAAAGAGCCCTACCCATTGCAACTACTCGCATGAAATAGCACACATATTCAAAAGTTTTTTTCTAATTTCACTTTAAAATAATTTTCAATCTCATCTTTAATGACACGTATTGTGCAACTTCTTGTGTATAATTCTGTTATATTATATATAGAAAGAGTATTATCTCCATCTCACAGGTAATCCTCTATAAGAAAATTTTGCAACCTACATTAGGTGCATATAATTAATCTATTTTAGATGTAGTCTATCTTTTCTTAAAACCTCTAAATTGCAAGTTTTGCTGTCTCATAGTAGTGGAGAAGTGAAAGGATAATGCTAGGAGTACAATACACAATGAAGCAAGTTCCTTTGGATAGGTATTTTCCTATTATAACTAGGCTAATTTAATGCTATCATGACTCCTGTTCAGATCCACATTACATTTAAGTTCAAGTGACATTGCTTCTGAATCATGCCAACAGCACATGTTAGTAGCTAGACAACTTCTCCATGATAGTCACAGATTGAGTGAAGCGTTGAATGTAACAAGCAAGGTAAACATAAGTTATATATGGTAATCCCTTTGTATTCTGTCACAGTAAAATGCCTGTCCACAAAATATATGCTCTATTAAAAAAAAAAAACTGTTCTCATTATGTGCTTTCCAGAAATATATTTTTCTATGTGAAGCATTAGTTGCTTTGTATTTCTTTCTAGTTTCATTGCAAAAGAAAAACAAACTGAAATGCATTAAGGAAACAGGTTGTAATTTTCACTACTCATTTTTCCTGGTTGTCACAATTATTGTCCTACATTAATCTTCTGTCATTGTTGGTTAATGTATTTGGTGGGGCAGTTATTTGTTCTTTGTTTATCTATTGCTCTACTGTGAATGTAACAGGAGTGTTATCTGGAAGGGACAGC